AGTTAGTTTCTTTGAAATGTTCAAATTATTTGGAGCTGTTTATCTGTGTCTTTCTCTTGCATTTTTCTTAAGCTGTCCACGTCTAAATGAGTGGGTTAAAGGTACTGTGTATAAGCACTGTAATACACACTGGGCAGCAGAGAGCTTCTCTGCACTGGGATGTCCCAGATTCAGGGAAAAGCCCACCCTCCTATTGACCTTGGACTTGGTGAAGTCTCTGCCCTCTCTAGGCTGGTCCTGCTACTAATAGTGCATGCTCAGGTGCTCGGTCTTCTTCAGCTCTTGGCAACCCCATGGACTATGGCCCACCAGGCTCCTCTGTCCGTGGGATTCTCCAAGCAAGAATACTGAAGTGGGTTGCCAAGCCCTCCACCAGGAGATCTTCCCCACCCAGGGATCGAACCCAGGTCTCCTGCAGCACCTGCATTTGCAGGTGGGTTCTTTGCCACTAGCACCACCTGCTGCTAAGCTGAGAGAAAACCAGAAAAACGTGTCCTGCCTACGCACTGGAGAAGTGTTTTCCTTCAGTCTCAAACAAGGAGGGAAATAAATACACACCCCTAAGGAGCAGTTCAAGAGATGGAAAGGCAGTAAGAGAACTCACTGGCCACCCTGGCCCAGAAGCATCACCAGAATCAGGATGGTCCCTTGGTCTCCCTGCGCCCAGCAGTGTCCTGCCCAGGGGACCCCCGGGGTCCTGGGGGCCTGCTTGTTCAGGCTGGGAGTGGGCTCTGGCTGGGGACTGATTCCTGTTCCCTCCCTCCCTTGGCTGCACTGCTGGCCGGAGCCACTCTTTCACCCCCCTGCTCTAGGTGACGGAGGTGGGGGTTCCAGGGCCGGCCAAGTCGATGGTCACAAATACTGTGGTCTGTCTTCATCGTCTGGGACACCAGCTCCAAGTGCAGGGACCCACTGTGAGTGGCGGGACACTCCAGGGAACCCAGGGCGGCCCGCTCAGTGGAGAACCCGGCAGGAAGATCCAAGCAGTCCACACATCTCCCCCAATGCAGGTCCAGTGGAGAAAAACCCACATGCTCCACTTCCAAGCAATATTTTAGGGCTTACCAGACAACCAAAAACAGTGTAAAGAAAAGGGATAAAACTTTTTTTTTAAGGGAGCACTGGGGTCTCGAGGCCAACTTTTGAATAACAGGAATTCTAATAAACAAAAGGGGGAAAATGATGAACAAAATAATTTAAAAGTGTTTTCCAAAGATTAAAATCAGAAAGGCCTAAATGTCTCAAAAACATCACTGGAAGCTAGGGGACAATGAAGGAAAGAATGAAATTTTGAGGGAAAATTTATTTCCACCCAAGAAACTATACAGCCAGATGTCCAATTAACTGGACATCTGGGAAGATAGAATGAAAATATTTTCAGACATGCTTTCTTCCTCAGGAAAATGATAGAGGATTTGCTTCATCAAAATGTAAGGATGTCTCTCTCTGAAGAGAACTAAAATAACTAAACCATTGCCTCAAAGACCCTGTACTTGGTGAGGGGAAACCTGGGCTTCTCAAGGTGAATGCAGCCAGGGAACCCCATGTAGCCTGCAACAGAGTCCAAGTTCCCCAACCTTACCTGACCTCCCCCACTTTCTCCAAACCCACCCACACCCTGGACACAGAAACACTACCAAGTATTTCACCAAGGCTGGTAGTGAAGAGCAAAGAAAAGGGTTAATCCTTGTGCTCTTGAAAATTCTAAAGCTAATATTTTAACCCAAACTGGACTCCAAAACTAGAAGACAATGAACAATAACTTTAAAAATATATATATTTCACATCTAGGTACAATATTCAAGTACTTTAGAATGAAGCAATCTATCTGGCAAGGACTCAGATGGCCATTGAGAATTACAAGGAACTGCAATATTATATCTAGAAACAGTATAGCAAGAAATTTGCCAGCTGTGAGGTTTCCAAGAGAACTCCTAAACTCTAAACCACCTTTCCCTTGGTTCCATGAAGTAAAACATTTCATTTCAAAAATTCACTTGAACCTGTTTTTATATTTTTTTTGTTGCCCACTGCTTTTAAGGTCTACCTGAAAAATGTATTTCTCATTTTAATTAACCCAGCACATTAGACACCACGGGACTTCCCTGGTGGCTCAGATGGGAAACTGTCTGCCTATAATGAGGGAGACAAGGGTTCAATCCCTGGATCAGGAAGATCTCCTGGAGAAGGAAATGGCAGCCCATTCCAGTATTCTTCCTGGAGAATTCCATGTAGAGGAGACTGGCAGGCTACAGTTCATGGGGTCACAGAGAGTGGGACACAACTGAGCAACTAACACTTTCACTTTCTGAATTACTAGTTCCTACAAATCAAACACACAAAACATTAATATATTGAATATAAATTAGTACTTCATCTTAAAGTTACACATATAAACCCATTACCTAATTATATATTTTAAATTGGAATTGCAAAACCATCTAATATGTTAAATTATCTAAAACATTATAGAAACATAAAACACCATGTATTGGGTTGGCGAAAAATTTCATTCAGATTTTTGCATAAGATATTACAGAAAAGCCAGATGATCTTTTTTGCTAACCCAATATATGGATTCCTTTCTGTTTTAAAACCACTTTGGAGATTCACTAAAGTAAAACAAACCGCTTATACTTTATTTATTTTTTTGGCTTCAGTGCATCTTCATTGCTTCCTGTGGGGTTTCTCTAGTCGTGAGCTCTAGACTCTAGAGCTGGGATGGGAGAGTTTCGGTGCAGGGCCTTAGCTGTATGTGGGATCTTCCTGCAGCGGGGATCAAACCCATGTCCCTGGCATTGGCAGGCAGACTCTTAACCACTAGAACACCAGGGAAGTCCTAAGCTGCTTATATTTAAATGTGTACAATTGGACCAATTTTGACATATAGACACATCCAGTGAAACCACCACTGGAATCAAGATAATGCCCATTCCATCATCCCAACACTAGGAGGGTACCCTAGTGTCTCTTTCCAGTCCCTTCCCCTTTTTACCCCATCCCTAAGCAATCACACCCTGACTTCCGTCACTATAGATTAGCTTGCATATTCTAGGATTTTACATAAATAAGAGGCTATTTTTTAATACAAGGACTAATACTATGGTTTCAATTCTCTTAAACATTGCTATACCTGATTCTGAAACTTCAAAGAAGTAAAAGATCTCAAGACACATACACACACACACATAGGTGACATAACATGCATAGAACTGACAGTACCCTTGTAAGCCAACTAAGGAATAAAAATATCATCCTAAAGCATTTTGATACTGGAAAGAGGCTGCACGCCAGAGATTTTCATGGGGATGCTTCCTGAACTGGATTCTTGTAGGTGAGACTGATGGGACCTCACATGTCAATTCCTAGTTGCTGTGTGAATGACTCCATAACCTCCAGAGAAGATGGCTCTGGAGCCCAATCCTTGGGTTTCAGTTATATGCTCACTTAGCTGCTCTGCCTTCCCACAGAAGTTTCTAATTCTATCCCATGACCCCTTGGAATGGATTTTGCCTTTCTTTGGCTCCGACATCATATTTAGCTTAGGTCTCAAGACTTTTAGACCCTGTCAGACACCTGTGAATTTCTCATGCACTTCTTTGGCCTCAGAACTCCCACGGAGCATACAAGAAGGAGCCTTCCTGAATCCTGAGGACCTCCAGCCACTGGATCTGAGCATGATACCCTAACTACTGATGAGAAGGGCTTCCCTGGTGGCTCAGTGGGTAGAGTCTGCCTGCAGTGCAGGAGAACTGAGTTCGATCCCTGGCTTGGGAAGATCCCCTAGAGAAGGAAATGGCAACCCACTCTAGTATTCTTGCCTGGAGAAGTCCATGGACAGAGGAGCCTGGTGGGCTACAGTCCATGGGGTCACAAAAATGTCGGACACGACTGAGTGACTAAGGTATGACTGATGGGAAAGCTGTGTAGCTTCATCTTCCCGGGTAGTGGTTAATAGGTAATGCTTTAAGCTGGATGAAAAAATCAAGACATGGAGGTACAATCGTGTTAGTTTCAAGGGATTTTCCTCTGGGGTCCAAACCACGTGGACCATGTTCTGTTGGGTATGTTCAGCCATGTCTCAAAGGTTAAGGCAGAAGTTGGAAATTCAGTGGCATCTGGGGAGGGACAGGGTTCAGGAGGATGTAGGGGGCGAGGGTTACTTTGGCCTCTGAATACATTTTTCACTCCTTCAGATTTTTGTTTCTCTGATATCTTTAATTAGATTTTTCCATTAAAAAGTTATTCCAACTTCTCACGAATGCTAAACTGGTCCCCTTAGAACTGTCTGAAATGCACCTGTGTGTGCCTATGCAGTCACCAAGTTCTATCTAACGCTTTGTGACCCCATGGATTGTAGCCCACCAGGCTCCTCTGTCCATGGGATTCTCCAGGCAAGGATCCTGGAGTGGGTTGTCATTCCTTTCCCCAGGGGATCTTGCCAACCCAAGGATCAACCTGAGTCTCCCGCATTGCAGGCAGGTTTCTTATCGTCTGAGCCACCAAGAAATGCACCTGAAAGTGAAAGTCGCTCAGTAGGGTCCGACTCTGCGACCCATGGACTGTAGTCCATGTAATTCTCAAGGCTAGAATACTGGAGTGGGTAGCCTTTCCCTTCTCTAGGGGATCTTCCCAACCCAGAGATCGAACCCAGGTCTCCGCATTGCAGACGGATTCTTTACCAGCTGAGCCACCAGGGAAGCCTCCAAAAATGCACCTGGATCTCTGCAAATACGGATTCGCGCCTCTGAAAGCGATCGTCCCGAAGTGGGCTCTTTGCTAACATTTCAGGGACTGTCCCAGCCTCTCTGTGTCCACCGTTACGGCTTCCGCAGCTTTCCGGCCGTGGCCGCCCGCGGGGCGCGCGGGTAAGAGGAAGACTCAAGCGCCGCTCGGGCGTGAGCCCCAGAGCAGCTGCGCCCGCGGGGAAGCAGCAGCAGCTGCGGGCTTGCGAGGCGAGGCCTGCGAGCCAATGAAAAGGGCGCGGGGAGGGTCGGCGCTGGCCAAAAGCCCTTGAAGTGCGCGGGCGCGGGCTGCTTTTACGGTGTACGGCGGGGTGGCCACAGCATGGCCGCTCCCAAGCGGTTTCCGACGCTCGTTCAGCTGGAGCAGCGAGGGAAGCTCTTCGAGGTGCTTGGCAACCTCACCAAGCGGCCCTACTGGTTTCACTCCGAGTACCTGAAGAGCCCGAAGGCAGTTCACCTGGAGGCCTGGCTGGTGGAGGCGATCTTCGGTGAGTGGGCCTGAGAGGGGAAGTCAAGGCCGTCGCTCGGCCCCGGGGTGGCCGCGTCCTCGGCAGGCCTCTCCGGCGGCCGGGGCTGCCCTCCAGCGCCGCTGGTGCCACCTCCCCTCCCGCCCCCGCTGCTAACGATGTATTTGCCTCCCGTGCAGGCCGGGGTGGAGAACATATCCCGCACGTCGAGTGTGTGTCACAGACCCTGCTTCACGTTCATCAGTGGGACCCGGACGGCGAGGCTGAAATCTTGATATTTGGCCGGCCTTATTACCAGCAGGATGTATCCAAGATGATCATGAATTTGGCTGACTATCACCGTCAACTCCGGGCGCGAAGTACGCGGATGGGAACCATGAAAGGCACCCTAGGCAGGCCCTGGTTCTTGGGAGAGGTCCTGATGCTTCCCGGCTGTGCCTGGGTAGCGGTCTCATCCTTTTAGTTCTCCTGCGAGAGGGTGTCCTCTTTGTAAGGGATCTAGAAGAGCGAACTGACCTCCTGTTTTCAGATTTCGGACCCCTAGCCCCGCAGCCCGAACGGATCACCCCCTTTGTGGGACGCATGGGACACAGGTGAGACTTCCTCTCTTTGCTCTTTTTCCAGGCTCTGAGAAGGCTCCTGCCCGAGAGGCCGGGACCCAGCGATCCCCCGACGCAGTCCAGGAGGCCGGGACCCAGCGATCCCCCGACGCAGTCCGGGAGGCCGGGACCCAGCGATCCCCCGGCGCAGTCCAGGAGGCCGGGACCCAGCGGTCCCCCAGCGCAGTCCAGCAGGCGGCGACCCAGCGGTCACCCGGGAAAGCCCGGGAGACGGGGACCCAGCGATCCCCCAGCGTTGCTCGCGAGGCGGCGACCCAGCGGTCCCCCGACTCAGTCAGGGAGGCCGGGACCCAGCGGTCCCCCGACTCAGTCAGGGAGGCCGGGACCCAGCGGTCCCCCGACGCAGTCCGGGAGGCCGGGACCCAGCGGTCC